ACCCTAAACCCTGAAGGAAAAAAGCCGTAAGCCCCAAAACCCTAAGCCCTAAGAGCCAGGTCCAGGCCCTGAACGCCAGCAATGGAAGCCCAATGTGGAGCTTTGAGCCGGACAGTCCCGCCGCTCGGCTGCTTTATGGTTTAGGGTTTTGGGGATTGTCAATGGCTGCTTTAGGGACTTTTATTGGGTTTAGGGGTTTGAGGTGTCGGTTTTAGGCGTTGATCAGCTAATGAGGGTCTTGTAAGGGTCTTAGCGTTTAGGGTTTGGCGGTTAGACGAGGGTTAGGAGTCAAAGCCGGCTTCCAGTTGGAGACTTGAAGGAGTCAAGACTTTCTGATGCAGGTTTGGAACTTTCTACCGCTCTTCGTGGACAACGGCGACTTCATTTTTCAAGACCTTACGGGTAAGGCTTACCGACTGGACTTGCGTACCGGGGCTGTGCGACTTGGGCTGCACTGGAACTGGTTCTTCGGGTATTTTCAATCTCGGAAGTTTGGGTTCAGGATTTTGATTGTCGGCAGCGGTCAGAGGGCCTGCGGGGTTAAATAGGACTCGACCGAACACGCCGCAGTCCGTAACAACTGCTACTGCATCATTCTATTTGTTTGCTTGCTCGTTTACTTACTGATTTGCTGATGTCCTCGGATACATATACATACATATATATATTATGTTTTATCTACACACGTATGCTTTGTATTTGTAGGAACATACGCAATTGAACAATTGACATTTACATCTTTCAATGGGGGAATTGCGAGGCGCTGGAAGAATGGTGGAAAGGATGGCACCTGGACAGATGGCAGCGCAGCCGTCGGCAATGGGATGGTCTTCACAGTGCACAACAACGACTTGCCAGGTGTGAGGGCCAACCTCAAAGCCACAAAGCTCGAAATCTTACTATAGATCTAGGTGTTTGGATCCCAGCTTTCTCATGGCTTGAACGTCTCACTCCAGCCCACATAAGACCACTAGCCTCGCCTGCATTGTCCGAGTGTGCGAGCCGAAAGCTCTAAATCCAGATTTTGAGCAATTAGGGTTTAGGGTTTTGGGTCCCTAAACCCTAAACCCTAAACCGTACCTTCTTGGCGGGCCCTTCTAAGAAGGATCCTTCGCTTAGGGTATACTGGGTAGACATTAAACCCTACATCGCAAAACCCTAAACGCTCATTCCCCAAAAAAGCTTTACAACCAAGAACGTGAGAGCTCTACAGGACTCTAAAGCCAAAGAAATTGCAGGTTTCGATGATCTCAGCGAGTACAACCCGGGGACGTTGAGCGCTTTCAACATTACTGACGGCACTCTGATTTGGAAGGCTGCTACAGCGCACTGTAGCAACCTTTCTCGTCTTGTGTTTCTGGGGGTGTATCCAGTTTCCGTTTTCAGCTTGAGCAGGGGGAGAAATGGGACCCCCCATTTACGAACGGAGCCAGAGAATTCTACCCTAAACCCTTAAACCCTAAACCCTAAACAGGTTTAGGGTTTAGGGTTCTGTGCCTGCTTACAGTTGAAGGAGAAGACGAGGGCACAACGGGAGCCCGGCTCGACTAAATCTTTAGTAAGCCGATCTGGCCGCAAAGTGAAGGCATCCTTACATATATACACTATGTATATATATACACACATACGCACATACAGAAAATTCATATACATAAAACATACATACACATACACCTACACATACACATATACATACGTACATACATACACACGTACATACATGCATGTCTAGTTTCAACCTCGGACTGCCTTAGTCTAGGGTGAGGGTACAGTCCTTACTCAGGCTTTTTGGGAGTCCTCAAACCCTAGCCGCATTTCTGGAAGCATAGGTTGTCACACCGCGACCGCCGAACAATGCACCGGCCATTGGGAAGGTGAAGAACTATCCTGGTAATTCTGTTGTGATGCTTGGTCAAGGCAAAGAGACCTCGTTGCCAAAGGGTTGAGGGTCGGAGGTCTCCCCCAGAGAACCCAATACACCTTAATATTTAAGGATTCTACCTTAATGTTTTGGGGCCTTATCTTCATGATTTAAGGTATATTCCTTAATTAAGGGGTATTGGGCTCTCTGCGTCTGCGTCGTCCCAGGGCAAGCCTGTACCTCTGCAACTCTGGACTCATGACATTTTTTTGGGTTTACGGTCATCACTGCATGCACCCAAAGCCCACCTATAGTCTCCATTGTAGTTCCTTTTTTTGGTTTAACCAAGTCTAGATGAAGGATCCTAAAAGGTAACCCCAAACAGGGAACGACAATGGAGACTATAGGCAAAGCAGGATCTTCAGTTCCATCAGGAAGCTGGGTACATATGTAGTTGAAACTCTCCAACAGCCGATTGTACGTTCGGTGGTTCTGGAGCCTGGCACTACTACGTTCTATTGTGGGATCTTTAACAGTGATCTAGCCTTATCATGAACGACTTCAATGGTTTTTTGCTGGTTTGCACAATCTTGTACATTTGTGAAAAGCATGTCCTCTCATGTAATTGCATTGATGGGCAAGCAAGGATGCCCATCTGCCAGCAAGTGATGGAGTTCGCCACCTGCGATGTGCAACTTACTGGTACTTCAGGGGGAGGGTTGCATGAGTGGTTCCTCATAATAGTCTGTATGCAATCACTTTGCTTGCAACCCTAAATCCTTAGCCCTAAACCCTAAACCGAAACCCTTAGCCCAAAACCTCAAGCCCTAAACCCCCCTAAACCCCTAAAGCAAAGGCAAGTCCACGATGCGGACACTGGCATCCTACGATGGGTCTTCCATGGCCCCATGCAGATGGGGCCAGTCCAAGCAGGTCGAGCTAGCGCTTGGGATTTAGGGTTTAGGGGTTGTGGGTCGGGGTTTAGGATTTGCTGTAGGGTCTTGGCGCGTCATGGGTTTAGGGTTTTTGGTTGTAGGGTTCACAGCTTTCAGGGGTTTAGGCTTGAGAGGCTCAGTGGCTCGGGGTTCAGGTTTGATGGTTCCGGGGGTTTTGGGGGGTTAGCGCTTGGCGCATAGCATGTCGGAAACAGCAGCAAAGCCTAGTTGATCTTCTGTGCGGCCAGGCTTTAGATCGGCACATACACTAATACACCACCAGACCCTTGCTTTCACCATGAAGGGCTCCCTAGACTAAACCTTACCTAGTTCTCTAAATTAGGGTCCCTTTTGTAAGCCAAAAATATACTACGGCACCCAGATTAAAAAAAAAAAAGGACCCCACAAAGGGACCCTACTTTGGAGAACTGCCCATA